GGCTCACACAGCAGCTCACACAGCAGGCTCACACAGCGGCTCACACAGCAGGCTCACACAGCAGCTCACACAGCGGCTCACACAGCAGGCTCCCACAGCAGGCTCACACTCCCACAGCAGGCTCACACAGCAGCTCACACAGCAGGCTCACACAGCAGCTCACACAGCAGCTCACACAGCAGGCTCACACAGCAGCTCACACAGCAGGCTCACACAGCAGCTCACACAGCAGGCTCACACAGCAGCTCACACAGCAGGCTCACACTCACACAGCAGCTCACACAGCAGGCTCACACAGCAGGCTCACACTCACACAGCAGCTCACACAGCAGGCTCACACTCACACAGCAGCTCACACAGCAGCTCACACAGCAGGCTCACACAGCAGCTCACACAGCAGCTCACACAGCAGGCTCACACAGCAGGCTCCCACAGCAGGCTCACACAGCAGCTCACACAGCAGGCTGTAACCACTGCAGGGCTGCAAGGCCCTATGTCTGTGATGTTCCAGTTGAGGACAAGAAAAGTGTAGAGGCCAGTGGACCGGGGCTCCCAGAGGAGGTCATCAAGCAGAGAACTTCTGCAGTGGGAAGTTGAGATGTTTTACACAGGAGAGGCTAGCCAGATTAAGGGCGCCAAGGAGAGGTTAACTGCTCTCCCCTGGGTCTGTGTACCTCGGGTGGTACCATCCTGCTCTCTCACCAGCCACCCCTGGCTGCCCTTTGCTCAGATCAGCCCCAACAAGGAGTCCTAGGCACACCTGCTGACTCCATCCTCAGTGATTAGGAAGTACCACCCCTGCTCAGCTCGGCTCTTTGTCTCCGAACAAAGCGGACCAAGCTGCCCAGTGCTCTGGTGCCTCTGGGAACAGAAGAGGCACCAGAAGAGACATGGCAAGAGCCTGCCTTACACCAGCCACTGCCAGCACCCGAACGACCCTAACAGGGCCAGGCTCAGTTGTCCCACACAGCCGATGTCCCTTTTGCAAGCCAGCCCAGATGTCGTCTGTAAACCCTGTCCTTTGTTCCCAGGGACAATCTCAATCAGTGGGAGAAGGTGATCCGTGGGGAGGAGACTGCGCTGTGGATTTCCGCCCCGGCAGCCGGCAAAGAGTCCTCGGAGAAACTGCCCGTGAAGGTGGATGAGTGATCCCAGCGAGGTGTCCATCTAGCAACCGACTCTCATCCTTCTTTGACGTCGTTCCTTTTATTTTTAAGGGTCGGGGGGGGGGTGGAACCTCTCCCAGAAGCCACCACCACGCAGACACACACACACGTGAAGCAGATGACCCCCTGCCTGCTGCTCGCGCACGCTTGGACAGTAAGCAGCCTGGGCTCCACCACGTTCAGATATCAGCTGCTTTGTGGCTTCATCTGACTTCTGAATGACATCAGTGAACCGGCCAGCAGTACACTGGCCCTGGAGGTGGGCGGACACCCCAGGAGGGGTTCCTACCTGGGTCCTTCCGTGAGGGTGTGGTCACTACCCTGGTTCAACATTTCATCTCTTCAGCAGTGCTGCTCGGTGGCATTGGTTATAAATAGGACACACGTCCCTGTGGTGAAGTCCACATGTGACCCTCCTTTGTCGCTGACTGAGTTGTAACCTGGGACACAGGTAATGGCGGTCACGGCCCGCGGATGATAGAGAAATAAGTTGTTGATTTTAGGCAGACTAAAGGTGTGTTCTTTCGGTTCATTCGGGGTGGGGTGGGGGCATGTAGGCGTGTCGGCTCCATGAAGGAAGCAGACCTCTGCCCTTCTGTCAAGGAGACACAGGGCACATGGCATCCAAGAACCACAGCTCTCATGTCAAACCACGTCAGAGAATTAGAACACTCTCCCCTTCCCCCCCAGCACTGTAGCCTGTAGCCTTTGGCACCTTTAACCAAATCCTTTGCACAAAGAAAATAAAAGTAAGGGATATAAATCCCCGTCCCCCCCAGAAAGAAAACCTTGTGAGTGAAAAATGTGAATTTTAAAAACAGTTTCTTTATATTCTTACTGTGTGTTAGGGCAGCGCTATAGTCACACCCCGTTCCATGCCGCACTCCCTGCAGAGGCCCCAACAGTGCAGCCCCAGTCTCCTGGGATTTGGATGGCTCCTCCTTCACTGTGCGGTCAGACCCGACAGGAGGAGGCGCCGGGCCACCGCACTGACCTTTAATTGTGTCTTCTCTGCCACACTCCTACCCAGAGTCCTCCACCACGAAACCCCACGTGTGAATTAGTCCTCCGGCGTGACTTTCTGGTGACTGCTGCCGTGTGACATTTGAGAAGCCAGCAGAGCCCCCTGGGCCTCCTAAGGGTGTCGCCCCGGTTCATGCCGTGAGGGTTTTTCAGGACAGTGGCAAGGAGACCGGAGAATCTGTGCTTGGTTGTTCTCACGACGTGAACGGGTCTTGAGACGTTAGAGAACAATCAGAAGCGAACAGTTCTCTCTCTCCCTGCTCTGGCAGGAATGTGAAAAGTTGCTTTGCAATGAAAAAAATTTTTTTGAAACAGACTTTGATACGCTCGGTACTCTACACACCACTGCTTGCAGGAGCTTGGCATTTGCAAAAAAAAAAAATCAATTCAGTTTTCCCCGACATATTGGTTTATGTTGTAGCAGAGTGGTCCGAACACCAATCTTGTTGTCATTTTACGTTAATACCCCGTGTTCAGTCTCCTTGCTGGTTTCTAAAGAGTTGCCGTCGCCCCTCCATGCCATTTGGTTTACTGTCCTGTCGTTACCACATGAGGGAAAAGGTGGTACCAGCGACCACCAGGGCTGTGCACACATGCACACACTTATGTATGCATGCTGTGGGGACAAACACTCAGATGTATGTATGGCACACCCTCGAGACAAAAAGGAAAGAAAGAAGCAAGTATTTATTTAGAAATAAAAATGACAGTCACCCCCATACTCCAAAGCAGAGGTTTTCCGTGTTGGGAAACAGGCCGTTCTCCATGAGAGCATGGATGGGAGTGTCACTCCTGTGAGGGTCCCCAGGGGCAAAGGCTGAAGAAAGTCCATTTTCCTTATACAGACAAGTGACGGTAGATCCAACAAAAATCCACTTTTATCCACACAAGCTGACGGATCCTCTGCCTCGGAAGCTGGATTGCAGGAAGGGTGGCTGTTTCGTTCTGGCATCTTGAAGGTGTGCAAGAATTCTGTCCCCCAGTATGGAAAAGGGTCCTGGTGGTGGGAATCCTGTGACTGCTCTAGCATTTCATGATCGCTGTGGTAATGAGAGCACTACGGGAGGCTCCTTTCATTCGACCTAGCCAAGAATGCTCTACGCTGTGGCCTCTACTGGGGCAGTTTGCAGAGGAACCTGCTGGGAATTTACTGGCTGGTCAGTCTCTTGTTTGGATAAAAGATTTCAGCTGATTTTTTTTTTAATTTCAAAAAAGACCTTTGTATCATTGTTCTCACCATGTGTGAGACTCATGAGACATAGTTTTTTTTTTTTTTTTCCAAAATAAAAGAGGCCAGGATTCGGCCATGTTTAGGTAATAATTTGGTTTTGGAGTTCATGCAGTCAAGAGTGTTTCTTCTGGATCTTGGCAAATATATCTAGCAGACAAGCATCTAAATTCTGCCTCTTAAGTTTTTTTTCCCCACCTCATTCCTCACAGTTTTCTCCCACCAGGGATTTCTGGGAATTTCTCATTAGTGTCTGATGCAAACTTAGTGACTAATAATGAATACAAACGGAATGTTCCCTTTACCAAAATGATATTGTTTACGATCATTGGAATGCACAGGTCTTATTTAATTTCTTTCCACACTTTTGTGGTACCTTTTTGTCTGGGAAAACGTTCTCAGATACGTAAGTGCATGCCGACAAACCACAAACCAACGCGGAATCCTGAGTCTGGGCGGTGGAAAACAACCGTAAAACGCAGTAACCACCAATAGCCGTCAGCTAATTGGAACACAGTAGAGGGCGTGAGTGGCCTCGGAAGCAGCGAAAAACATTCTGGGTGGTGCCCAGCTGCCCACCTCCCCAGGGTGTAAGGAGCAGGGAAGAGAGACTTTGAATCCCGTCCCTGGGGCTCCCTCCAGTTTGAAGTGTCCCCATGACTGACTGCCAGGGGGACACTTCAGGTGTGTCTCCCTCCCACACAGAGTCGTTTCGATCCGACCCGTTCACTGTTGGCCTCCTCTTTCTTTCAGCATGTGCTAGCATTTTTGTTTTATGCACATTCGGTGAACTCGGCCCGTTCACTGCGCTCATATGTGTGCTAGATGTGTTAGCACAGCCTGCCCGCTGTTGCATGACACCTTAGGGGGCCGACCAGGTCTTCCAGTGGACTTAGCTTGGCGTCTGGCGCGTCTGCTCTCTTAGGGTCTAAATTAAGGACTCAGCTTTAGCAGGACAAAGTATTCGCCCTGCCTTGGCCTCGTGCCTTTATCTGAAATGCTGGCTTCTCTCATGTGCTCACCTCTTAACCTTTCTCAAGTGTAAGGGGTAGCATTTAAAGGGGCCCGTTCTCTGGGAGACCCACCTCTGCTCCCCAGATTCCTGTCATCATCCCATGCCACTGGTGTCTGCTCTGGTGGCTTTGGGATCCTCTTGTCCGTCGGGTGCTGTGGCTCCAGTTAGACGCATGGATCTCTGTCGGGGGTTGGGGGGTGGTGGTGATGGTGTTCTGTGGCTGCTTTGAGCTCTGCTGGTCTTGTGGGGGTGGGGTGGGGGCTTCTTGGAGGACTGCTCATCCAGTCACAGGTCGCAAGTGCCAGTCTGACTTGACAGCCATTGTGAAATTTGAGTTAGTCACGTGTACCGTCAGCCGTAGCTTCCCCTTGCGACATGTGACTTTTTTTTTGTTGTTGTTGTTGCTGCTGCCCATTTGGCTGGCATGATTTACACCTAAGTTAAAATTAGAGATGCCCTGAGAGTACAACATTCTTACGGTCTTTAAACAAAACCGTACAGTTTGATCAATGAAAGTCTTAAAGGTATTACACTCATTGACAAGAACAGAACAAAAGAAAGACAAATGCTTAGAGGCGTTCTTGTTGCCAGTGAGGAGTACAGAACAAGGAAGCCCATGTCTCCAAAGAAAAACAGGCCTAGAACCCAAAGACACACGTCCCCAGTCACCTGACTTGTCCCTGCTCAGTAGTGGAGGTTGGCCCTCTGTGGGCTGTGAGCATTCTGTCTGCCATTAGTATAATTGCCAGGCTTTGTAACTGAAGCAACACACCTAGGGCTGACCCTGCAGGGTATACAGGAGAATGCCCAAACACCAGGGTGGAAGTGTAGCTGGACCCAGAGTCTGCCGCCACAAAGGAAGTCAGCACACACATCTCAATGCTTAATCTCCAGGAACTATACACATTGGTGGATTCTTTTTATCTCTGATGTAAATTAAATCCCCAAACACTTGTCTAGCCCACCTAAAACCTCATTCTATCATGGGCATCCCCACTTTCTCTTTTGGCTTGGTCATCCTGATTCCCCCCGCGCCCCCCACCCCACCCCCAGTCCCATGCGTATCTAGGATAGTGAATGGAAATGACCTGTGGGAATACCGTTTTCTGTATGATCTGTTGTATGGCGTACATGCTACGTGTTCATTTGCTGTACAAAAAAAAAAAAGTGCAGTTGGTTGATGCACAGAGGTGTCTCTGTATAGTGCCCACCTAGTTAAAAATCACATACTTGCCCAGAACACTGTGAAACACTTTAACTACATACAAATGCAGCGTCTGGATTCCTTCTGAGATGAACAACTTTCTCTTCATGAACATAGGAACAAAAGAGATTCTCCATCCACACCCGGCCAAGGCACCCCAGAGGTCACAGTGACAGCCTCTTTGCTGGCCAACACCTGCTGGAGCAGGGGCACAGGTCCAAGCAACCGGTCCTCAGTGGATGGGTCCACAGCCAAAGCCTTAATGGGCTCTTTTTTTGGAGGGGAAAGAAAGAATTTCAAGTTAACAATATCCAACATTTTAGTTGATGAGTTAGTAAATTCCAAAAATGATTTTATATGTATGACCTTAAAAAATCTTTGTAAAGTGCGCAAGTGCAATAATTTAAAGAAGTCTTATCTTTACATTTATAAATTATAAATATTGTACATGTGTGTAATTTTTCATGTATTCATTTGCAGTCTTTGTATTTAAAAACCTTTACTGTTATGTTTGTATAATAGAACAGTACCCATTTATTATAACTCTGACAAGGTGTAAATAAATTCATAATTCAGACAGCCAGTATATATGCATATATATGGGTGTTAACATTGCAAAAATCTCTATCTTTGTTCTACTCATATGCTTAAAGCAGTAAGGAATCTTTTGTGGATATGTAATTATACATATAAAAGTATATATATGTATGATACATGAAATATATTTAGAAATGTTCATAATTTTAATGGATATTCTTTGGTGTGAATATAATTGAATACAAAGTTTTTAAAATACCATCTCTCAAGTTTGTTCTCTTGTTGGTGGGGAGGATGGCAGAGGGTCTGAGAGGCTTGCCCGTAGGTGGCAGCCCGATCTTCTTCCCACAGTCACTTGCGTGACAGGGAGACAACACAGCCCGCACCCAATGCGGCCTGCGAAGTGCCCTGTCTCTGTGGAGAGGAGGAGGACAGAGGACAGCCTCTTGGTATAAACGCCAAGCCTACGCCTCAGTCACGTCAGGGTTTGTGCTTGTTGGTGTTTTTTTTGGTGACTCCACACAAGCCAGAGTTATCTGGGAAGAGGAGCCTCAACCTAGAAAATTCCATAGTAATTGGATTATAGGCACGTCTGTGGGGTTATTGTCTTGATTAGTGATTGATGCAGGAGGGTCCAACCCACTGTCTCGGCACCACCCCTGGGCAGGTGGTCCTGGGGGTATAATAAATCAGGCAGAGTAAGCCACAGGGAGCAAGCCAGCAAGCAGCCCGCCTCCAGGTTCCTGCCCTGCGAGTTCCAACTTCCTGCAGGGAGAGAGTGTGACCTGAGAGCTGTAAGTTCAAAGAAACCGCTTCCTCCTCAAGTTGCTTTTGGTGGTAGTGTTTAGGTCAGCAACAGAAACCTAAGGCAGAGGCCGACGGCCATGTCTGCTACTCCAGCCCGCCCTCCTGTCTGGCAGAGGCTGGCTCTCCTCTGTGGCTCCACGCACGCACGCACACACGCACGCACGCACGCACGCACGCAAGCACGCGCACGGACACCCCCACAAACTACCGCCCTGCCGCTAGCAGGGGAGTGTGGCTCAGTGGTAGGGTGTTTCAGCCTCGTGCTATAGAGAAGTTAGTTCCCTTGCACGCCAAATCTTGACAGGTGGAAAAGCCTTACTCAGTCGGTCATGTTTCCCACAGCACTGGCTCTGGGTCAGGGTTCAGTGCTGAGGTCATAGGTCACCAGGGGCCAGCAAGCAATTCTGCCCTCCCAGACTTCCCACAGCACAGGTGCAGCCGTTGCGGCTCGGGAGGCTCCTTCCCTGGGAGGACCCAGGTGTATCTGGTCCTTCCTTCCCTCAGCCTTCAGAGAGCTCTCGCCCCCCACATCCACCCCAGCGCCACGTAGAGGGAGAACACATAACAATATGGGTGAAGCGGGGCTTTGTCGCCGGAGAGTCCAGTTTAGTTTTGACGGGTCAGTGTGTTGCACAGATGGTAACTGGGTAGCACGCTTCTCTCCCGGTCACGTTGGTGGAACTGTTAAACAATGGGAAGGAGTAGGGCTTTTGCTGCACTCTCAGGGCCCAACACGTATTCGACCCTTGACATTCTGAGTTTTGTCACCTAAGGGGTAGAATGATGAATGACTGCGCTGACCTAAGCCATGACTTGGAAGAACTCCTTCTGGCTGGAGAAAGAAAGAAAGGAAGGAAGGAAGGAAAGAAAGAAAGAAAGAGAGGAGAGAGAGAGAGAGAGAGAGAGAGAGAGAGAGAGAGAGAGAGAGAGAGAGAGAGAGAGAGAGAGAGAGAGAAATGGCAGAGGTGTACAAATCGGAGTTCCTCCCTCCCTGCCCAGCCTTGGTCAAGTCACCAGAACTCTAGAATTTCCACTGGTGATGCAATCACTTATGTGGTACCAGGGTAAGTCACCTTAGTGTGCTCTCACCCCCAACTGCAGCAGGGACACATTCACCAGGGGACAACACAGGGATGAGCTACCCTTTATCCCCAACTCTGTAACAAGTCTGTCCTAGAGGCTTTAAATCCAAAAGAATGTTTTGTTTTGAAGAGTGAAGCCAGGGAGCACCCTTCTGGCCCTCCCAGGCAGCATGCACAGGCCAGGCAGAGGAGAGATGGGAAATTCTCTGGCCATCTTGCCAGGCCTGTGGCTGCGGGGGGGGGAGGGAGGGGCTAAGAATGTTTATCGTTCCCATGGCAACTGCAGCCTTGGCTTGAATCTGGTGACAAGAAGGGCGATGGCTAAGGATCTGGAGCCTGATTGTAAGTTGTCTGCCTTCATTTTGTGTATGTGTGTTTGCCTGGCTTAGTTGATATTTGACTGCCCTGGAAAGACTTTCTCAGAAGTGAATTTGAAAGTTAAAAACCTTCCTGGTGGGCGAAGGTCAGCTCCTGGATCAGGTGGTTTGCTTGGGCCCAGAGACACTTAGTCCTTTCAGAAGCTGGAAGAAACTGGGCATTTCTGTCCACAACCAGGACCAGACCGCAGACACTTGTGCACGGGTACTCCACGCAGACTGCTTTTCATTCAGTCCAGGGTCTGGCCCAGGAAGCAGGATGGGTTTTCCCACTTGAGTTATCCCATTCAACGAAATCCATCAGAGCATGGCCACAGGGCGACCTCACCTAGACAATTTCCCTTGAGGGTTCCTCCCGGGATTTTGTTGTATTAAGGAGACGATCAGAAGTTACCAACCCCATGGTGTCTGTGTTGTCTTGTAGAGTGTGTGTGTGTTGGCGTGTGGTATGCATGTGTGTGTTACTAAGTATAGTGTCCTGAAGGGACAGAGGGACTCACTACGCTAGTTCAGTGTTTGTTTGCTTTCTTTAAAGCTAAGCTTGAGAAACTTTCTGTACCACACCCACCGCCACTGCTGTCTTGAAACATCACTTAACAGAGGGGCAAGCAGTCAGGTGTCTTCCCCCCCTCATGTGTAGTTTATTGTCCGTACATCATAAAAGAGGGAAACAACTCACTCAAAATAAATCTAACAACCTAACGATTTAGCTCTAAGAGATGGCACCGATTTACCCAGAGGCAGAGGTCACTCATGGACAGTTGGGAGAGGTGGCGGCACCAGGCAGGTTACAAGTCTGGAGGCCCAGTGCCCAGCAAACCCTGGCATCCACACCCACTGGCGGAAAGGACAGTGAGTGGATGGATTCTGGCTCCACTGCAGATGTCCCTTGAGGGCGTTGGACGCTAACTGACACAGCCTCAGCTGGGCTTAGTCAGGTCAGCCAGGGAGCCGGACACTCAGCAGCCACGGCATCAGAGCCAGGCCCTCCACAAGAGATGTGGGGAGATGCGGTCACCTGGAGGGCCTCTTGCTGACAGAGTCCATGCATGGCTCTTGTGTGCTGAGGTGCACTGGAGACCAGCGTCTGCTGAGTCTCTGGGAGCCTGGGCTTTTATGACCCTTCTGAGGCTTTTCTTGTCTTTGGCCCTGTCTGTGCTCCTGATTGGTGTGGGTCGCCTGGTCACACCCACAGGTTCTCTTCCGGTGTCAGGAGAGCGAGCAGGAGGACACCCGCTTTGTGTCTTTATTTTGCTGTGTGCACGACGATTGCCCATTCAGAGTCCCCTCTCAGTGAGCACCGTGTTCACAGGGTCCCAAGTGCTTTCTCCTCTTAGCTTACCTGTCTCACCAAAATGCTGCTCATGAGACCGGAGATAGAATCAGGATCCGACTAGGTGGAGTAAAGCTGTCTAAATTGAACTGATCTTCACATTAAGTGCTATTGTTGGCATTTTGGCCAGAGGGAAAATTACAAAAAAAAAAGAAAGAAAAACATTAAATGATAAAAATGTTGAGGGTATTTAATTTAATGGATGTCTGATCCAACAACCTGATGCTGTATTTTCCTCACTGATGAACTTTCAAAAAGCCTTCTTGTTTTTCCCTCAGAGCTGTTTGCTTTCGGATCATTTGTGAGGGAGCCTCACCTCCCTAGGGGCCGTTTAAATGCCTGCGTCTTTTGGAGCTGGGCAGAGGTGGTGGGGGGAGCAGATGGTTAGCTGTCATCTTTAGTTAGGAGGCTGGTGACAATCGACAGACAGGCAGAACACAACATGGGGTAGGCAGTGAGAGATCCTGGCAGAGAGAATGGCATTTGGATTTGTCAACTGCCATGGAAGGTTGGGTACGACACATGCCAACCCGTGGGTCCAGACCCCTTTGGGGGGTGAACAACCTTCTTACAGGGGTCGCCTAAGACCATCTGCCTGTCAGATATTTACATTACAATTCATAACAGTAGAAAAATTACAGTTATGGCGTAGCAACAAAAATAATTTTATGTTTGGGGGGAATCACCACAACATGAGGAGCTGTATTCAGGGTCATGCAGGACCCCCAGTATGGGGAGACCCTCACTCAAGTCTCGGGATGAGCTGATGCCCCAATAATTCAAGAGAGACCATTCTTGATGTAAGCACACAAGGTTTATTTGGGGAACCAATGCACTGGGGCCGAGCTCATGACCCTTGCAGGGGCAGAGGAGATCGATCCCCAGTAGCTGCAGTCAGGAGTTTTTAAAGGGAAAAACCGAATCAGGGAGTTAGGCAAATGTCATAAAGGATGAGAAGTTAAATGATAGCTCATGTCTTAATGAGAAGGTTATAGGTTATCTCAAGCAAGCATTCTTTGGACATTGTACAGTTAAACATTGAGCAGGAATGTGGTGAGCTAGTTCCTGGATCAGGGAGGGTTATCTTTTAAGTTCGTCTTGAGGTCACCGGTTTCTCAGGAGAGGGCAGAAGGACAAGTCACTCTGTGATGGGCTAGTGGCTAGGGGTCTAAAAATGTTGAGTTGGGGTCTCTCAGTCACAGCATTAGGAAGGTTGAGTTACCACTGTGCTAAGCAGAAAGCACCCACTGGTGCCTTTGGTGACCTTTGAGTCTTTTCTGGACACCAACAGAAGGACGGCTCAGTAGCACCGTGTACCCTCCCTCTCCCCCTTTTCACAGCTGGTGTCCTCCCTACTTTTTGTGGTCAAGCTTTTGACAAAATGCAGGGCTATCCGTTTTGAAAGCCACACTGACATTTTATCATGGTATTTCTTTGGAGCACTGGATAAAGTCTTAAAAATCCCACTCCTAGAAGTATCTGTTACCACTCAACGAAGGAGAAAGTAGGGATTGTTTGCATCCTGGGCTATGCTAGGGTAGCTGGGATCTGGGTGTGACCACATCCCTTAAAGGGACAGAATTTTGAGAAGGCCAGTGCCTCTTAAGTGTCTAGTGTGGCTCTAGGAATCGCTCCCAGGTCTGAAGAAAGGAGGGGCTGTGGTGATGATTCCATGTCCCAAGGTCCCAAGACAGCTCAGCATCCTGTGAGTCTATTGACTAGTAGTGGGCTGGTTTTTTTCTCGTATCAGTTAAGGTCATGAAAACAACCTGGGATGGATATGCCCTCAAAGTCAACCCCATCCGGACTAACCCTTCTTGAGACACCCTTCACAGGTGACTCTATGCCATCACACTGACAATTAAAACCATCCAGCACGTTGCCCTTGAGGGGTTGTGAGTTCTATGCCTCTAAGAGCACCTGGGGGTGCGCCCACTCATGTTAATCCTCAGGTACGTCTGAGTCGACCACAGGTGTGTTTGACTTACAAGGATGGAGCTGGGGGCTATTTTCTTGTCCTCTTTGAAGACCCCTCTTTTCCAGGACAGGCACGCCGCAGGGCTGCTTTGCCAAGGGTGCAGGGGCGGGGGTGGGGGGGATGCAGGGATGGGGGAGGGGCCGCAGGGGGTGGTGGGGCTCACAGTTGCGTTTTCTCTCCTGAGCAGTTTACCTGAAATGGGAGCACTGCGAGACACACGGAGTGAAGACCCTCTGCAACCTGAGGGAGCTCCTGACCCGACTCCAGAATGTCCACAGGGATGATGTCTATGTCTACACCTCTGGGTACCTGAACCCCAACAAGCTTTACCGGCCAAACCAGACCGTGGCCCAGCACTGGCGCAATGCAAACACGCCGAGGGAGCGAACCCGGGTTTTCACACCCTCTGAGCCCAGAGTCAGACAGACAGCGGAGGAGATGAAAGACGCATGGACTTACTTCACAGTCAACACAGCTCTGCGTCCCGACGACACACACAACACTCGGCTGTACAGGTATCTGAACCCACGCCGCCTCAAAGAGGGCTCGGAGAAGTTCCCGCAGGAGGACGACGAGGAGGACCTAAGGGAAAGACCCGTGCTTTCTCTGGAAAGACACAGGAAGGAGGAGCTCAGGCTGCCCGAGATGAAGGTGCTCAAATACCCAGAGGCGGCGTCCAGCCGCCAGTGCTCCGCGTCTGCCCAAGGCAGGGACGTGTACCGGTACGTCAGCTCCTACTTGGCTGGTATAACGAAAACCGACAGATACAGGAAGTTCCTGAAGTTCCAAGAAGAAGTGTTAGGGAAAGACCACGTCCTGAAGAACGACTTCACGGGGAGCAAGGTGGCTGTCAGCCACGAGAAAAAGCTGGAGGAGGTGAGGGGAATGGTGTGATGCTCTCAGCCATGGGGCTGAAGGTCAGACACCCCCCCCCCCGTGGTCCCAGAGTCAACCTGAGGTAACCTCAGTGACTTGTCCGGGAAGAACGCAGCCAAGTTGCTGGCGCCTCCCCTTCCCTGATAACCCAGCATGGGGGATAAGGATTGTGGTGATGGGGAAAGAAGGTGACATTTGACAGGGATAAGATGCGGGTGGATTCGTGATCGGCAATATTCAGCTTCGGAAATACTGTGTCCAAGATACCAAAACCAAAAACAAAAATGTCCACCTTTACCTCCTGTAGAAGATGCAGTGGGGGGAGCCGGGCCGAGAGCAATGATGGAAGAGAGATGACACAGATGCCACTGGGTTAGCAGTGGTGGGGTCTATGGTGTGTGGACTGAGAGGGAGCATTACTGACTAGGGCAGCACACTGTGAGCAGTGAATTCAGGAGAGCGGAGAAAAGAGCCATCTGTGTGTCAGAGAGCCGGAGCCCCCAGGATACTGTGAGAAAGTGAAGGGTTTCAGTGTGTGCGTGTGGGGGGGGGTTGGGGTCAGAGGATGAGCTCCTGAGTGCAGGAGGCAGGGGTGGACCAAGGAAATGAGACAGGAGCAAACCCACAGGAGTGGCCAGGCTCTTAGAACTGCGGAAGGCAGGCAGAGGCTCCCTGGTTCGCTCCCTGGTCTGCAGAGCCCGGCATCTGGGTTGCTTTTTCCAACTGATCCCCCCAAGAAGGACCAGCTGTTCTGAGAGGAACGTGGGGATCCCAGCCCCTTCGGGGGCTGACTCTGTGTCTCACTTCTAGGAGCTCAAGAAGATATGCACCTGCAGCTCTCAGCAGTTCAACAGGCTGCAGGTCTTTGGGGAAATCTTTGAGGACATTTGCAACAGCTCGTTGATTTTTGGGGATCTCCTGAAAGAGATTAAGGTAAAGACACACGTCCCACCTCAGAATGGGTGAGAACTACACACACGCGACGCTGACTACGTGAGAGACCTCGGGCCTCACAGCACCGACACAGTCCCTGTTCCAAAGAGGGAGTCACCCGTCAGAGACTCAAGGGACCCTGCTTCCTGTCAGCCATGTGAGCCGTGTGAAGCAGGCAGGGTTAACATGCTGCGTTAGACATGTGACTTCCCACCCCGGTGTCCCAATTCCGAGTTCAGAATAACATGACACACACACTTTCAGAACCAGGCACTGAGAAGTTATGGGAAATCAAGTTGCTTAAATTTAGTCTGTGTTAATCCTCTGTTGCTGTGAGAACACGCCCAAACCGCAAGCTTGATAGGGAAGAAAGTATTTTAGCCCGTGGTCCCAGAGGGATAGAATCCATCACGGTGGGGAGTCATAGCAACAGGCAGGGAAAACATATGGCAGACACAGGAAGCTGGATAATCACATTTTCATCACAGGAAGCAGAGAGAAGTAGGACCAGGCTATCCATACTTAAAGCCTGCCTTCAGTGGCTCACTCCCCTCAGCAAGGCGTCACCAACTACAGGCTCCATAACCTTCCTCAGGGTACCACCAACTCAGGCCCATGTGTTCAAATACTGTAGAGGGACACAGTTCTCGTCTCAACCGAACACAAAGCCTGCGCTGTGCTCTGATTTCCCTAAGGACCAGGGGTGCGTCACGATGGCATGTGCTGCTAGTCTCCCAGGGCCCTCGCTACCACCCCTTCAGCAGGTCTCGGAACTACACATGGCAGACAGTAGTGCCGGATGCGTGTCAAGACATTTTCCCACGGCGTCTTGAAGTGATCAGTAGCTGGTAGTCAAACTAGGACTCAATGCAATTCAATGTTACAAATTTGTGCGCGTGTCTGTTTTAGCACCTTGCTGGAGCAGTTTATACACTTCCTGTCTGAAGTGGTTTTGGCTGACATCCTTAATACCTAAGGGGTTTATGCATGCATGCATGCATGCAAAAAAACCCAATAATCCTTGGGGCTGGCGTAGCTCTGTGGGCAAAGGGTTTACAGGACATCAGTGTCAGTCCCTAGCACCCACTTAAAGTCTGGCTGGCCAGCAGGTCCAGCCAATCAGTGAGCACGCACAAGGTACGCAGTGATAGAAGAAGATTCCTGACGTCAACAGGTCCAGCCAATCAGTGAGCACGCACAAGATACGCAGTGATAGAAGATTCCTGACGTCAACTCTGACCGTTGTGTGTGTAGGCGGAATGCCTGGGAACGTGTATGAACACATTCATGCACCCCATCCCCCCACCCCCATACACAAGCCCTTATACCCGGTGTCTGGTGACATTGTTTTTGTTTTGCCCAGGATGAATATGAACTCTACATGGCGGCCTTGCTGGACTCGCAGCCCACAGCGCAGTACAAGGTACTAGCCACCATGAAGGGTACAGAGTGAGTCCGTACGCGCACGGCTTCCTGTTTCAGGAGTGGTAGGACACTCTCAACCTGGGACGCCCCGTTTGCTCCTCTGTTGACAGGGGAACGTCCTTCTGTATATATTTTTCTCTTAATTGGGGGATGAATAGAACACTGATTGCCCAGTAGTCAGGCAGTCGTGTAGGCGTGGCTACCAGACAAGGAGAATTCTGGGGAGAGGACCTGGAGAGAGGCCATCAGAGAGACACCAAGTAGCTGTTGAGGGAGCAAGATGTCCAGGCATTCTCTGGTAAGATGAGACCATGTGGAGATACTCAGATTAGTAGAGATGGGTTAATAATTAAGAGAGAGCTAGCCAATAAAAAGCCTGAGCCACCGGCCAAACAGTTTATAATTAATATAAACGCATCAGTGTGTTTATTTGGGGCTAAATGGCTGCGGGACCAGGTGGGATAGAAACTCCGTCTACACTCTGCCATGAAAAATAGCTGGTGATTTTTAAAAGGGGTGATCTTTATATCAAGCTAAGGTATAAGGGTGACGATCTTTCCTGTATATTAACACAGGACAGCGTCATTCCCTAACCACAAGCCACCACATGTGGCTACGGACATAAATGGTACTGCAGTGATTATCAGAAAATAGCATCCTGTTGTTACCCTGAGTGGGTGGTTTGTCACAGCAGGTGTACCCAGGCCACAACACAGATCACTGTCTCTTTGTGGAGCTGAGGAGAGCTTTCCCACGAGCCTCTACAGGATCAGTGGGGTGACATGCACTGTTTTAGTAAGAAATGACCCATGGGACTGACAGACAGCTCCAAAAGCTCCAAAAATCTGTCACCTTGAGATTAGTAATTATGTTGTGAATAGAAAATGCAATTTCTTTATATATATATGTATATGACACTTAAGTATTTATGTACACACACATACATGCACACACACACACACACATATATATATATATATATATATATATATATATCCTATAGCATACAAAGCCAGTTCTAAATTAGATCTTAATAAAATACCACCTGTGGTCACTGCATTCTTTGTTCTGAGACTTTCCATACTAAGTAATACTAAGTTTTGAGGGTCTGGAGAGGTTGCTCTGCAGTTAGGAGCACTAGCTACTCTTGAAGAGGATTCAGTTTTGGTACCCAGCACCTACCTGGTGGTTCACAACCATTTGTGACTCCAGTGCCAAGGGATCTAACACCCTGTTCTGACCTCCACAGGCGTTAGACATGCATGTAATGAAACAACATACAAGCAGGCAAAACACCCATACACATAAAGATTCAGTCAGTAATCAATCAATCAATCAATCAATCAATCAATCAATCAAGTCAGCATTTGCAAGTAAAAGCAGTGCCTGCAGTCACTCTGTTTCTTACTCTGAGGTGAAGCAGAAAAGGAAAATACATGCCCACACCTCGATCAAACCCCAAATGAGGGAACTGGCAGGCTTCCAGGGCTCTCTGTCTTTCCTGAAATTCCTGAAGCCCAGATGACCATCTAATGGGGTGAAGGCCTTTGTCATCCAACATGAGCCCCACTGTCTTTATGTCCACGTAAAGATTTACGATTTATCCTATCATATACTCGAAACAGTTGATAATGATGCACCTAGCCCTTTATTCTTTGTTTCCCAAACCCAGCTCCGCGAGGAAACCATGGCAGACCCTGCCATTCTTAAGAATGCATAGGAAGATAAAACCTTGAACTATTTATCTGGAACTTTGCAGTTATCTGCCCCCTCCCTCCAGCCCCCATGCACTCACTGTGTTGGAATTCACACTTTACCCCAGGACACCTGGGCCATATGTGAGTGATGACCAGAGAACCCTGCACTCTCTGACCACCTTACCCTTTGTGTGCCTTGTTCCTGGCAGCGGCTCCTGGCTGAAGTCAAGGGGTTGGAGAAGAGCCCTGTGCACAGCACAGACGTTGACCAAGCCAAGGAGCAGCTGAAGAAGCTGGAGCAGGCTGCCCTGGCCGCCCTGCAGCACAATGACAGGTAAGGCAGCAGCTGCGTGATTCTGGTGAAGTTTCCATCCATACTTAACATGACAAGACCGTGATGAGTTGCAGGGTCCTAAGGGCTCCCTTGGGGGGAACGGGGGTGAGAAGGAGGCCACCAAGTCAGTGATGCAGACTTCGGAAGCCGGGTGAAAGGAAAAACAGACTCCTTTGTTTAGCAATAGATACAAACTTACATACCTTCCAGCGCCCAGGCGTTTGGACCTGTTGACCTTGCTAGTCGCCTCTCATGCGCCAGGCGCCATCAGGACCCCTCACAGCTTCTGTTGTTAGGGCCTCAGGCAGAACTGTGTTGCACAGTTGTACAGAGTGAAGTCACCATTGGGCAGAGCCTGCCATTTGTAAGGATTAACATATAAAACGCTATAGACGGTAGCAATTCTGAACCAACACAACAAAAAAGTCCTCAGAAGCAAAAAAAAAAAAATTGAATTTGCTATCAGCATTAGTAGAGAGAAAGCTATTGTCTCTCACTGTAAGTTTGGTCCAAAGTTCTTTCACACCATGGCTACCATAAGCTCCTGCCCTCCCCGAGGACATGGAGGGTTGGCTGTGGATAATTATTGCCATGCTCAGGGGGTCACACTGACTGAGGAGTCACTGCAGTAGTCCCTGTGGGTCCACACTACGTGTGGGCCATGTGATGACCCGAGTACGTTGTTTCTAGCTGTCCCCAATGATATGGTCCCAGGAGGTTGCAGGGTAAGGAGGACCTGGAAAAGAGTAAAGGTCTGATGATTCTGCCTCGAGGCAGAAGTATCCAAAGTTAAAAAAACAAATGAAAACAGGCACACCACCACTCTCCACTGTCCATCTCCCTACTTCAGTACTTTGTGAGAACAGAGTTGAAGGCATCCTGGAGGAGAAGGGTGGGGCCAGAAGGCTGAGAGCCAAATAAACTCGCCGTGGGAAAAGGAGGATGCCTCCACCAAGCACAGGAACACAGTGCACCTGATAGATGCAGAGTCCTGGCCGTGGTGGTGGCAGGGATGATGGTGGTGACGCAGGGGAGGAGGAGGAGGAGGATGACAGTGATGATGACAATGATTATGAGGAAGGAGTATAGTGATGATGGCGATGATGGTGGTGATAATGATGGAAATGATGATGATGATGGTGGTGATAACGATGGAGATGATGATGGTGACTATGAGGATGGAGATGATGATGATGGTGATGATTACTGTAATGATGAGGGTGAGATGATGATGATGGTGATATTGTAATGATGATGGTGACGGTGACGATGGTGATCATGAGAGTGAAGATGAGGATCATGTAACGAAAGTAATGGTTATGGTGGGGACAATGACTGTGGTGATGGCAATGATGAGGACATGGTCGTGTGGACAATAATTGGAAGGGAAAGAGGTGTAAAACAGACTTCTAAGCTCAATTAGATGTTCTCGGGCATGTGCTTCAAGACAGGACAATAGTCTCAAGGCTGAAATACAAAAGCTATGCACAGAACTCGGACAACAACCACAGCAGCGAACAAATACGACACAACTAACTAAGGAAATAGTTGACAGAGTTAAAAAAGTAGATTACAGGGTGAAACCGGACTGTTAACGTGACCGAGAAAGAACGGTATTTGAGTGACAACACGAGACACATGGCGGGGAAAAGCAGAAAAGCAGTCAGGGGCTGGGATTTGAGGCAAGCGGGAAAGCTGGTAGAAATGGCAGATACACAAATGAGATCCAACTCACACAGCTAACGTCCAGAATAGGAAATTCAGAACAACAGAACAGAGATGGCACAACCTGTGGGGGTGGAGACACAGGGTCCCCCAGGGAAGCTGGCTAGCTTGATAAGCCAAGTGCTCAGCTTCCGGTTCAAGTGAGAGGCCCTGTCTCAAAGGATAGGGCGGAGAGTGACTGGGGAGGATGTTTGCCATTCACCCCAGGACCTCCACAGGTGTGTGTGTTACAGCAATTCACTCTGGCTTACACAAGTGTTTCCACACTCACGCATGCACGCACACATGCACACACACATGTACACATGTACGCATGCACACATGCACACACGCTCACACACATGCGCTTTCACACACACACACACACACACACACACACACATGCTCGCATACACACACACGGCTTATGTTATAAAATGGACAGAAGCAACACGGTCCAAGCAAGGCAGGCTGTTTCATGACTGCTTTCCTGCTGATTTTTAGACTCAGGAATGAACTGGAGGCAGAGAGGCTGTTGTTGCAATCTGCAAAGGAAAAATCGGGTGAGTGCCTTCCAGAGAGCTACCTCTGCCCTTTCTAGTATCTTCCCTGGGTGTCTCGATCCACCTCCTTTTTCTCCCTCGCCATGTGCCTACATAGTTCCTGTTCACGCTTCATCCTCAAGTTCTGCAGTCCTTGGAAGACTCTCCTTAACCCCGAACCAAACTGTGTGGGGTTCATTCATACGGGTCTCCCCAGGGTGCTGTCCCCCCCCCCATCATTTTCATGTAGTTTCTTACCAGTGTGTGCAATGAGAAAGCTAACTTGGGAGAGGGTCTGGCCATCATTCACAACTATCCCGGAATCTGCAAACCTAGGCATCCACCAGTACTTACAGAGTACATGACTACATGGAGAAGAATACCCCATTTCCTTGGAGCGGTTACTTTCTATTAATATGTTTGAGTTATACTACAGTTATATGATATATCTATCTATATTTATATAGTTACACTATCATTATAACTTATGTGACACCATTGCACACAACACTGTTGAGGTACTAAACCACAGTAACCACTTTCAAAACCACTTCCAGAATCTTCTGCCAGAAGCAGAAATGAAGAGGACAAACTCACCCTGATTGAGAAGGTTGAGAAGAGGAGATGTGAGATCCTAGAAAAATGGGACGAAATTAAAGTGCTCGAAAAGCACATTAAGGAGACATTGGTGCATTCGAGGGTGTCAGATATCACCGAGAATGGGATTAAAAGTGTAGAGGTACGTGAATTATCTGTGCAAATAGTTAACATTTGCTTTGCTTAAAGATGCCCTCAAAACAATTTGATCCCGTGACAGGGTAAAAAAAATCTAATGAAGCTTAGTCTGAAATACATTTTCACTTCAAAAGGTGTCTGCGGCTACACAGAGCAGCGGAGGCTAAGGTAAAACAAGAACAAAGGTGACATTGAGTCCATGGGGCCGGTGAGAGCGTGGCGTGTGCAGACACTGCTCACAGCTCGTGTGAGATGTGACCTAACAGGGCCTCTTGTGGCTAGTTCCATGCATTTTAGCAGGTTTTATTTATTTATTTATTTATTTATTTATTTATTTATTTTAATGCAGAATAAGAATTACGAAGTGCACAGAAGGGTGGTGTTGCTCCAAACCATGGGTGGGCATGTACGTTCTCATCCAAACCCAGTGCTATCCCTCTGCTCCTGTAACTGCTCAGTGTAGCCGCCTGGAAGATCAAGCTCGTGTGCCCTTCACACATGTGCTGTATGTGCGGGTGCTTACAGAGGCAGGCTGGAAGAGGTGTTGTATTCCCAAGGAATAAATGTGGTTGTGAGCTGGAAATTATGGGCGTCTAGAGTAGAGGAAGGTCTGTGTGAGCCTCTGAAGGCGAGCAGGGTGGTGTGTGGAGGAAGGAGAGGAGGTTGCTACAAATGGTCTGTGACAGAGAGGGGGATGAGACTTGGGGGGGTTGGATTTGGAGGTGCATTGGGAGACGTGAAGATCTGTGGTTTGTCTACCCTCTTCCCTGGCCAGAGTAAATGTCTATTTTAAAACGAAGCGATACCGAGCATGCTTAAATTTACGACCACGCCAGTCTCCTGATGCTTTTTTAATTTCATAAATAGAAAGTCTTTGCCATGTCTTTTTTTTAAAAAAAGATTCCCTTTGAAATCATTTGCTTTCAGAATGAAGCTATAAAATTGGAAACAACAAACAGAATCTTAAGGAAGAAAATAAAAGTAAGATGTCTTTTTAATATGCGAACCGGTGTTTATCTATAGAAACACTTCCTGAAGTGTCTGCTTGCCTGTGTCATCAGACACACACACACACACACACACACACACACACACACACACACACCTCGCTTTCTTTGTGTGGAGTAGCTTTCTGCCACATTAGCTGCGTCTGGCTGTGCAGACCCTCAGCTTGGAGCTGGACTCTCGTAAGCAGGCCCCTTAGTGAAAACACCCTGCATTGTGGCGATGCAGAGTTCCCGCGATAACTGCTTCTCTAACTTACCCACACACCTTGCCATTCAGAACAATAAACGGCACGGCTGGTGACAAGGAGTGGGGCACTCCCAACACAGGTGGACAATGGCCACTTAGATCATAGTTCCACACCCCCGGGCTGTGTGTGCCTCTGAGTGGCGGCACATGGTGTGGCTAGAGCACTGTCTCCACCCGGCAGAGCTGCCAACTCTGACTCCATCTAGTTGTCCTTATGCACGGCCAAGATTGTGGTGCTCTAGGTGACCGAAGGATTTTCAAATCCCTGCAGGCTGTCGAAAACCAAGTCAAGCAGCTCATAAAAACGAGTAAGATCGGCAATGAAGAGAGGCAGTAAGCATTGTTACCGTATTCTAACATATGCGCGCGCGCGCGTGTGTGTGTGTGTGTGTGTGTGTGTGTGTGTGTGCGTGCGTGCGTGCACGGGCGCACGAGTGTGCTTTTACAGATCCGCGGGCACGCACGTGTGCAGGTGTGGATGTGCACGCGTGGAGGCCCCAGGTAAACGTGGGGATTTCTTTCTCATTTACTCCCCATCTTACTCATGGAGGCAGAGCCTCTCATTTGAACCCAGAGCTCACTGATATGATTAGCCTCGTTAGGCAGCTTACCCCAGGGACCCTGTCTCCTCCACCTTCTGAGTGTTGGGTTGACAGGCGGGTTGTGTCCGTGCCCATGCGGCACTTGCGTGGGTTCTGGGGATGTGAACTCTGGTCCTTACATTGGCATGGCATGTGCTTTGCCCATGAGACATCTCCCCAGCCCTATGCCAGAGGCACTGTGCTAGAAAGAGCTCTCGTGATATCATTCAGGCTTCCACAGCCCTCTTGAGTGCTGACCGCCAACACTCATGCATTGTCTTGTGTGACCGGTTGAAGATCTAGACACCAACACGTACATTTTTCTCTACCAATATACGAACAGTTCCATTAGAAGACGCTAACGGATTGGGGTAAATTCTCAGGGGTAGAGACCAGGAATATGTGGGTAGCCTGTGGCTTTGGGTGGCACTCTTTGCTCAAATTACAGGGATTTTTAACGGTAATGAAAACTTAAAAAGAAATCCTATGCACATCTAAAATTTCAATTTAAAAAGTAAACGGGGCATAGTGAGGGGGCTCAGAGGGCAAATGTAATCATTTGCCTTGTCCCTAAGGCTGATTAACCTGAGTTTGGTCCTGATCCCTACGTGGCAGAAGAGGACTGACCCCCACAATCTGTCCTCTGACCTCCGTGTGCGCACCGTGGCTTGGGCTCAGTAGCGCCTTCCTGCTTCCTTCACTTTCTATGCAAGCGGGTTCCTTCATGGGGTCCCACGGGGTGCCCGTTTTTAGGCCTGTGCTCCAAGGCAAAGGACCAACAGGCAGCCGCTGTCTCTCTGAGGCTTCCTCATTTATTTTGTCTGGTGTAGAAAGATGGCCCTTTTCAGGGACATCCTCACACAGCTCGCTGGCCAGCATCAGGTCCCAACATGGCCTGCAGCTCTAGAGAAGGACAGAGGACAGAGGCCTCACTTTCCCTCTCGACGTGGTAGACGAATGTGTGGTGATGGCCTGGATGGCTCTCAGCTCCCTACGTCACCCTGCAAGTCAGCAAGGGACAGTGAGGGTTGCACAGCCCCTGCTGGGAGGCTGCTTCTCCACCCTGGCTAATGGGTGTACTAGAAGGTGTGGCGTCTGCTCGGTATTGTTAGCCTGAAGACGCTGTGTATATATATATATTTTCCTAATACATTGCGTTTATTTCTTGTCTATCTCAAGGGTTCTGTGGGATCTCATTAAAGAATATGCAGATTTAGAAGATATGGAAGATGACTCTCAAGAGTTTAGAAAATGACACAGGGAGTCTTCACTTCCGAGTCCACCACCTGGATAGGTCGATGGAGATGTTTCTTTCTGTCAGCCTTCCCGCTAATGACATCAGCGTAGCATCTACTCCCTACCCAGTGTGTTGATAGACGCATGTTTCATGCGATTTGTTTGACTCCTTCATGCGTGCCCGGGTCCTTAGTTCATCTTTTATTCAGTAACTTTCCGCTGGACAAAACAGTTTGAATATTTAACAGGAATGAAGATTCAACCCCACTGTGATGCCGACCAGCCCTGTCTAAGTACATTTAATACAATAAACATCTCGCATCCTTGCTGGTCATCTGCTTATTGCTGTGGCCAGACGGCCTGACAGAAATAACTCCAGGCGGGGGAAGTTTGTTTTGATCTCGGGGGTTTCAGGCCTTCATGGTCGGGCAGCTTAGTTCTCCGCAGAAGCAGCATGTGATGGAGACAGTTCCCACCAGTGCTGCCCAGGAAGTAGAGTGCATGATGGGAACGAGGAGCCACCTATAAACCCTACACAGCCTATTTCTAGTGCTCCACCTAGTACCAGCTTCTATCCACTGTCAGGCAGGTTCCACAGCCTCCCCCAAACATTTGCCACCACCCAGGGACCAGTGCCTTAAACACAACCTTGGGGACAAGTGCCTCAAACAGGAGCTTGTGTGGTGTGTGGGGGGGTGGTGAGGGGTGCATTTCAGATTCAGACAGTAGCAGTAATGCCTGAGTTAATACCCACTTAACTAACATCTGCTTCTTGTTTGCACGGTGGCTGGCACACACCTCAGTCACTTCTGAACTTTCTGACGGTTTTGAACACTAAGGATTTCTTCTCAATTCTTTAGGTGTGCAATAATGGAAGCATGGGTTGTGGAAATGACCTTAATTCCTGTGTCCATCCATAGGAAGGGTCTGAGGGTCCAGTGTGAGTGGCAAGGAGGACTATTGTAGAGGGGAGAAGAGTAGGGAGAAAGGGAGGGGAGAGAGAGAAGAGTGAGGAGAAAGGGAGAGAGAGGGAGAGAAGAGTGAGGAGAAAGGGGGAAGAGAGAGAAGAGTGGGGAGAAAGGGAGAGAGAGAGAGAAGAGTGAGGAGAAAGGGGGGAGAGAGAGAGTTGGTGTTTTGGCTCTTGTCAACACAAACCTCACATGCCCAGGAAGACAGATTCTCAACTGGGTTGTCCCCTTCCGATTGCCTGTAGGCAAGTCTTTGCGGCATTTTCTTCAGTGTGATTGATGTGGGAAGTCCCAGCTACCCCTAGGCAGGAGGCACTGAGCTGTGTAAGAAAAAAGGTCAGGTGAGCCACAAACCAACGATGATCCCCTTCCCCACGGCTTCCCCATGGTCCCTGCTCCAGTTCCTGCCTTGGCTTCCCTCAAAGATAGACTGCAACCTGCAAGCTAAACAAAACCAAAACCAAAACCAAACAATAAAGAAAGTCGTTCTCCCCTAAGTCATTTTGGTCAATGTTGTATCACAGCAACAGAGCAGTAGAGGATGGGGTTGGGAGGGAAGGGGAGGAAAAGAGGATCTGGGAAGGGAGGGGAGGAGAGAGACAAGGAGGAGGAATCGGGATAGCTGAGGAAGCTCTACCGTATCACGAGAGACCCAGGCAGAGGTGTCCATTGTGTTCTCTATGCTTCTATTGCCTTCTGTTGGCTATCCAGGAGAATCCCATTGGACTTGCTCAAACTCCGTGCGTATAGCAGAGCTAGAAGGGGACCTTGTGTTTGGCTGATGGGATTCTTACATCCCACCACCCCATCCTGTGGTGGTAACTATTATTTTTCTGTTGATTTTACACAAAGCAGAGTCATCTGGGGGAGAGGGAACCTCAATTGGAAAGATGCCTCCATCAGATTTAGCCCACATGCAAGCCTGAGTGGGCGCTTTCCTTGACTTGTGATTGATGTGGGAAGCC